AAAAAAATATTTTTAATGAAGGTTGCAAATTATGAAATTCAGTGCAGCACATGTGGCCCAAATAACATATTAGCAAATTCAAACAACAATTAGATATTATATAGGTAAGGAACCTCCAAATTTTGAAGGCTGTGAACAGAATGGCATAATAAATTCAAAATTTCTAAGTCGATTACAATCTCAGAGAAAGTGGGGGAAAAAGCAGCAACATCAATAACAAAAACAGATTTCATATTTTACAGCAACCTCTACACTGACAAGGCTAAGATGCTGAACTAGATGGACTACTGTTCCATAGTGGGTATTAATATATAGAGATCCATTTCTTACAGTTTCAAATCCATATATGACTTCTCAAACTGTTTTTAAGAATATAAAAAATAAAATAGTTACATCCATAACCAATAAAAACAACACTAGGCAAATTGTAAATGGCTGCCAGGACTCTGTTGCAGTTAGAATTTAGAATGTCCTCAAAGATAAATAAGTCACTGCAACTGTTCTGCAAAGAACTCCAGATACTTGGTCAAGCTCCTGAAGGCATCTCCCCCAGCTTCCCAAACTAAGATGACACCTGCCTAACCTGAGCACTCCTTGATCAATGCACTTGTGCTTTTACTGGAAAAATTACTCTATCAATACAGTTTAATAGGAGTAGCGGCACTCTAATCATCGATCTCTTGAAAGTCTTAAAGCACATATGTGCACGCACACAAAAAATTATGTTTATTTTTCCTGAAGATCCACGAATAAGCAACTCAAACCTGTCACCTCATTTTCCATAGAAATTAGTAACAGTACACGTCACTCTAAATGTACAGGCCTGAAGAAAAGGCTTGCAATACCCCTTCAGAATAGGTGCCTGTAAGAGAAATATTCCACAAAAGCAGCTTAAGAAAATGTTGTCAGAGTTTAACATCAAACTGCAAGTGGTGCCTTCACCAACAGTGTCTATCATAGTGTTGCATAGGCTCGTGCCAGGGAATCCCAGGCCATTTATAATCTTATGAAGTAAAAATATTTTAAAATTCACTGAAAGACAATTGTCAAACTGAAAGACAAATTGCAAAGATGTTGTGTGCTCACACTAAGAAACCAGTGATTAAGATGACAGCCAATTTCTGCACTAAGATATATTAAAGTGACAGAAGTTCAGACTACATTATCACTAGTTCTCTCTGAAAGCACAGGAAGTGTATATACTCCAGGACAAAAGTGGCCATAGCTCTTTGATGCAACAAAACACAGGCACATAATGAACAAGTTATGGACTTACCAGGGGTTAAAACTTCAAACACAGAGCAAACGCTAATGTCAAACATGGAACTCCTCATCATCAGTTCAATTTTATCTAAATTAAATCTCAGCATGTTTATTCTCATTCATACCTTTCTCAGGTAGCATCAGAGACTCCAAAAGGATCAAACAAATAGCATATAAGAACCCCAAAGCCATAAATAATCTATCAACATGTGGAAAAAGCCAAAATCCCCTATCTCCTCATTAACTGCCCTTTTGGAGGGGAACATGTTTAACACATATGCTTGTATGCAGTCCTGTAGAAGCAATCATGAAAAAGAAACAAGTAAGACTCAGTACAAGTGAATAGATTATTTTCAAGCCATACTTAGAAGCTTTTCTGAAGAAGCTTTGAAGTGTCTATAATTTGAAGCAGGAGCTTACCATTTGGTTAAGTTAATTTTTATGTTAAAAATGTGCCATTTTCTTATTCCTTCTAAAATTCACCCCAAGCTATAAAGTCTTGGGAAAAAATGTCATGTCACACATGCTCAAGAGGTTTGTGTGGGCTTCATAGTTCACCACTTCAAAAGATGCTCTCCGTTCTCAGTGTATTTGGCCAGTGACAAGGACTGACATCAGCTCCTCTGGGAAACTGGCATGCAGTCAACACCACTCTAAGAGCACAAAAAAGCCACTAGCTTCAGAGCCTTTTCCTCCTGAGCAGACTCGAGAAGATTTAGCATGACAGCCAAAAACTGTGTTTAGGTGGCCAAAATTTGAAGAGTTGGGAAAAATGACACAGGTCTAACAGTTTACATAGCTTGTTCCAATAGAATCCTCACTCTTCATCCTATATTATATAAGGTCTGAATCTCTATCCCAGCTCTAAACACAGAGTTAAATCAATAACTCAAGGGTACTGGATGTGATGAGCTTAATTGGCAAGCTTGTAACATGATTTTAATTCTAATCTTCTTGAAGTATTTATCAGTTTCTCTATTTTGTAATCCAACCATTCCTTTAACAATTCTACATATGCAACTCTTCTCCCAGTTTTACATATGCCTGTTCCAAAAAATGATTCATGAAAAGAAAGCATTTATAAGGTTTCATTTGGCCATTTACTAAGTTATAAATCTGCTGCATACAGGCCTAACAGTTTATATCTTGGAAAGAAAAAGAATTGACACTGGCAACAGGACTAAAAAGTGTTATTATTTTTTTCCCCAAATATACTGAAATCCTTAAAAAGGGACTGACTAAAACTTAAGATAAATACAGCTAAATAAACAATTCTGAATTCAAAAATTCAAAATGCTCCAATTTCTAAAACACTTACCATATGTACTACTTCTGGGTAAATAGGCTCTGTAATCACATTGCGATTGTGTGTGATATATTCTACCATTTCACTTAAAGCTGCTCGTTTTACTTCCTTCCACTTTAGGTCACTTAGTGGATCAGAAACAAAGTCAAAAAGAACACAGCATTGTCGCAACTTCTGGATAAAAAGCTTTTCTTGATCAGCAGGAGGAACATCTGAAAAGTGAAAATAAGTGGTTGTAAATGATATTGTAACAGACTTCACTCTTGCCCCCAGTTTTATTCCCCCAAACACTGCAGTATCAGCAGTTAGGGCTGCACGCAAACATTCTGAGTCTTCAAACAACTTCTGGGAACCCAGTGGTCCAGGTTCCGGGCCCCACTAAAACACGCAACATATTACAGGGTGGATCAGCAGCACTGCAGAGATGTGTATTTGTCTTTCCTAAAAATAGTTACTGCGTGGAAAGAAAAAAGAGAGCCAAAACCCCCACGTATATTTGAATAACGGTCTATCAAAGAATTCCCAAATTAGCTCATTTTGTGTACTATGTCAGCAGAAAGACTCTTTACAACAAGTAGAGAGAAAAGCACAGATCTTCATTTTTTTGGTAGGTTTACACAATCTCATTTTTCTTCAGGAGCTACCACTGCACAAATCCCTCCCCATCCCCTCTTTTTTTTTTTTTTTTTTTTAAATGCCAAGTGTTACTACTGCAGTAACTTCATCCAGACAAAAGCGAATTCACAAGTCTTCAAAAAACTTCATTAACACATCCGGAGTGTTTTTTAAAAGGAAAGAAGATAGGGTAAGGATCTTCAACTATCTGGTGAATGTGCAAGAACATGGACTATTCTGAATGTTTGTTTTCTATGTACAAGAATTAAGATTCTGTAGTCGTGGCCAGAACAGCAAGATTAAAACAGTATTGGTTCTCTAGAAAATACTGTGCTTGATTACTGACTACAAACCATTAATTGAAACACAGACACAGAAATAACATTTTCAATTCTCACCATGGTGAGTATAAAATATTAAAAAAAGGTTATGGGAGAAAAAAAGAAAGAGAAAAAAACCACACAACAAACAATACACACAGCAAAAGTGTAGTCTGATATTTACTCTTTGATCACTCCACTAGAAAGAAAATGTATTAATTAATAGAAAGACTAATGTTTTTACTCTTTTATCTTCCTTTTAAATGTCCATGTGAAGTATCTGTGATAGAACCATGATGTTAGTTTCTCTATTTCTTTTTCAATAGTATTGAACTCATGCCCCCTTTTTTTTTTTTTTTTTTTTTTGTCTAACAGCTCCTCCTGATCAGGGCACCTCTTATTAAGCGGGTGTAAGTTTAATCAATTTCTTTCTGCCGTGATACATCTTAAAAATACCTAAGAGACTTCAGATACGCCAGGGGCCAGCATGCTTGGTCTTCAACAGCACCCAAAACAGAAGTGTTAATACTTTCGGAAATGTTTAAGAATTCACTGTCTGTATCATTGTTTTTGTCCATTTATAAGGAAGGAAGTTTTCCTCCTTGGAGACAAAAGAGGAAGACTTTAAGCATTGCTTTGTGCAGTGATATTTTTAGGGTTGGGCAAGAATACCTACTTTCTCTGAAGAGTTTAAGTTACTGCCTCCCTATTCTTGCTTCCTCTGCTTCAAGGCCTTAATCCTCCCTGGTGGCCCTGAACAATGAAATATTTAATGCTTGCATGCAAAGTGAAATTAGATTGCTTGGTTCAAACATGATACAGTGAATTTATAACTACACAGCTAACACTACATTTACCATGAGCATTTTCTAAAACATTGATCCTTCAGGGTATTACATAGGGTCAACAATTATACGCAACAATTACAATTTGAAATGAAAGGACATAAGTCTAAATCACTTTGGAATCCACGCATAAGGCATATGAGTTTAGCTTAAGGTTAAATACTCACATAAAAGCTATGAAATGTTGTCAACTTATTTAACAACTGCTGAAGCAGTTATAAAACAAGATTCATGCTTTTTCAAGTCTGCTTTTTGTCAAAGGCAAAGCACTGCAAACAAACAAAACAAAACTATACATGCTTTTTAAAATTTGCTCAGGTAATTCCATTGGCAGCATTAATGAGTATTAATGCACAGGATATTCCACGGTACTACCTACCACAAAGGTACTCTGGACCAGGACCTTAACTCTCAAGGCAGTGGGGGTTGTACTGACTGCAGAGGATACTAAAGGAAGTGGCCAAATGCAGACAAAGCAGGACCACACTTTGACAGCAGCAAAAATTTATCTCAATTAAAATGGCCACTTGAAGTTTAAGACAAGTGAATACACTGCACAAAGTGCCTGTATAAACTACTGTTTTAATAATACTTTTTGTTGTTGTTTTTGCATAATGTGTTTTTTTGTTGTTAAATATTAACTATGAGGACATTAATAGCACGTTAGAGACAAAGCCAGACTAGACTTTTTCTAAATCCTTCTTCCAGTTTGCTTCTGCTTCTTCCAACAGATAGCTTATCATTTTTCTTAGAGTACCATAAAATGCTAAAAAAAATTTTAAACAAAAGCAGCAAGAGCTATCATCACTACGATATATTTCAAATAGTTCTATGAGTACATACATATATAACCCCCTACATGCAACCTAATAAATTGAATGTTTTGATATATTTCTACAATCTAGTAGAGCAGTTAACACAGCGAGTAGTTCTCCTATATCTGTCTGGCAAGCCTAAGTCAGCGAAAGCTGGATTTTTTTTTTCTTCTCCAAAAGAAATTGCTTTCAAAGGTATTTTGGCTATAATAAAACTGGACTACTTTTTAATTCTAAAATGGCAATAAAAAATAAACACAACTGCATACACAGAGCTATGCATACCAAATTGCTCCAAACATTAATTTCAAGGAGGGGAGAAAAAAAAAAAAAAACCCACACAAGACAGTAATAAACCTGAAGAACAATGAAAACTTGCATCAGGATATAGGGAAGAAACTGTAACCAGGTACAGAACTTGTCAGTGGCTTTCAGACACCACTGATAGTGAAGAGCTCTGTAACTAGAAAGAAGGGGCTAAAAGGCAGGCATCTAACCAAAGCCACAACTGTCTGGCAAATACAACAACAAAATTCCTGCATGAGCCATTTGAAAGTACTTTAAACCACACAGACATAAATTTTGTAGCTAAATATACAAACATTGCCTCTTTCTATTAAAAACAATACTACCAATTTGTCCTGGAAAGATTATTTAACTGAGTAGTCTGCATGCTGAAAGCCAAATATATTTATGGTTTGTATTTAAAAGCTCTTGTATGCACAAAGTGGTTAAAATGGTTACGTTTTTCAATTAACTGTAAAACAGGGAGTGGCTCAGCCCGACGCATAACAACACAATTTCACATAGGGATATTGTGCTCTGAGTGTGCACTACAACATTCAAAGCCTAAATAGAGAATGTAGTCATACACATAATGGGCATATAGCTACTACAATAATTTACAATACACTAACCCAAATAGGGAGGAATCATTAAATTACTACTAACCTTTGAAGTCACAAACTGTCAGGAAACACTCTCACAATGCAAGCCCAGCCATTTATTCTGAATTGGCTTAAAACTTTAAGTGCATTAGTCCTTGTGTACTACTGTATATTCTGTACTACTCAGTGTAGAGACACGTGACTAGGAAGTTGCCTTTCACTTGATTAGGCCACAGATAAGCTTGTGAAGAGAATTTACACATGCTTGTAAAATAATTCTGAGATGCTCCAAGGAGTCACACTGGGGACTATCGGGCTACATTTTTTCAGTTACTGTATGGCAACTCTTTTTTCAATATCCCTTCTACTTCAATTAGCTGATAGCCACTGATGTCCCATTGCTTAATTGCCATCTTTGAACAGAGTGGTATGAAGTAAAACTTTGTAACCAGGAACTCTGGTGTGTCAGTGGTCAAGAAGGCAGTGGTTATTCAATAGCTACTCCTTAGCATTATTCAGACTGATGTTTGGAGTTATTCTTAAAGAAAGTCCTCTGTTTATATTATGTATTATTCAATGCTTACAGAACTGGTTTCTAGATAGCAACACTGTTATAATCTTGAAACTACCTGTTCAAGCCCACACACCTATCCTTATCTGTTAGGGTTTAAACGGCACTATTGCCAATCTTCCTCTGTAGTAAAAACATTTTTTTTTCAAAAGCACAAAGTCCATCAGTCCATCAGTCTCATGTTCAGACAAACTTTCTAGCAATTCCTAACACAGGTTTACATAAACATCATCTACCTGAGCATACTCAGAGTAGACCATCAGGTTTGTGGTAACTGCTGCAAGTCTTTGGGTCTTTCAAATCAGCTACCCACGGGGTCCAAGAACACACAACCACCACCACATGAAGTGAAGCTTTGTAGTTTGCATTATACAGCTGTATTACAACAAGAGGAGTCCAGGATGCAACCTGGCAACCATTTCCTCCCCTCCTCAGATGCTTAACTGTCATGGTGCCACAGCAGCATTTTCTTTGGAGAATAAGCAAGGTTCAAAATCTTTACTAAAGAAAACCAGAACTGCTAGACAGGAAGGTTGAAGGACTGCAGAACATGCAAAAAATGAATCATTACAACAATAACTAATACTGCTTAGTAACAAATAAAACTCTCCCAGATAACAGCATTTTAACCTAATACATATTGGGAAAAAAAAAGGATAAAAAAAAGATCGTCAAATCATGCATGAAGAAGTTTAATTGATGCTATTACTTACTGCAGGACTTATAGCATGAAAATGTACTGCATATTGTACCTAAAGATAAATAACAAATACAAGAAGCTATCATAATTAACTAGCAACATAGGAAACACGAATAAGCCTTCCCTGTAAATAACTCGACGCAAGCAAGATATTGTGATGTGTATACATTGAACTGGAAAATACGTATGACATCTTAATACAGAATATAACAAGCAATTTCATTGTTTTATTTGGAACATTATTGTTGCAAATAGATTTTTTTTCCCCTCCAAAAAGGAAATACAGTACTGGATTTTACATGGACTTTTTACAAGGATTTTACACTGGATTTCAACCTGATCCAGAACAAGAAAGCCTAAGACCCAAGGAAACTGTATTGATAATTAAAGATAGTTCACAGGTATTTAGAGCTTTTACAATCATCGCAGTAAAATGTTTAATACTTCAAACAATATCAC